AAATAATCGTTTTTGAAAGGGCGATTTCTCGAAAACCGCCAATAAAGGCAGCACTACGACACATTCGGAAAAAAAGCAAATACCTTTTAGATTCGACTTCACTATACCATAACAGTAGCAGCACGTTTTGACTTGGCCATTTATAATACCAAACATAGCGTATATCTCAATTATTTGAATAGCGTAGATGTTCACATATTTTAAAAAGGTTTGGTATTTCAAATAAACTCACCTAATATCGTAATATTCCGTTTTCTTACTTTTTCAAACACCGATACTGTGTGTTAATTAAACTTGGAATAAGATGCAAATTGTATGAAAAAGTGAAAAATGTCTTACAACCTATATATAATTTTTTCAATTTCCCAAGCATGCCGTTTTTGGAGTGACGATTTCTCGGACAATGGCCAATAAAGGCAGCAATACGACACTTTTGGAGAATAGCAGATACGTTAAAGATTCGATTTCACCAAACCAGAACAGTAGCAGCACGTTTTGATCTGGCCATATTTAATACTAAACATAGCATATCATTTTCAATTTTATCAACTATGTATATGTAACATATTTAAAAACGGTTAAGTATTTCAACTAAATTTCATCAAACACTTTTCTCTCTTGGTCATACATCAAAACTGTACGTTCATTAAACTTGGAATTAGTGTGCAAATCCTAAAATGCCAAAAAATGATTTGACGCCCTCTAGTGGATTTTTCGGAATTTCGAAAAATTATCGTTTTTGAAAGGGGGATTTCTCAAAAACCGCCAATAAAGGCATCACTACGACACATTCGGAGTAAAGCAGATACCTTATAGATATGATTTCATTATGTCAGAACAGTAGCAGCACGTTTTGACTTGGCCATATATAATACCAAACATAGCGTGTATTTAAACTTTTATAAACAATGCAGACGTAAGATATTTAAAAACGGTTTGGTATTTCAACTAAATTTTAAAGATAATTTATCAAACATCTTTTTCTCTTGGACATACATATATACTATTCGTTCATTAAACTTGGAATAAGTTGCGGAAAGTATAAAATACCAAAAAGCATTTTACGTCCTTTTGTGGATTATTTTCAAAATTTCAAAAAATTATCGTTATTGAAATAGCGATTTCTCGAAAACCGCCAATAAAGGCAGCATTACGACACATTTGGAGAAAGGCAGATACCTTATAGATTCGATTTTAATATATCAGAACAGTAGCAGCACGTTTTGACTTGGCCATATATAATTCCAAACATAGCGTATATTTTCAATTTTATTAGAAAATGTAGATGTGACATATTTAAAAACGGTTTGGTATTTCAACTAAATTTACTGGAAAATTCATCAAATACTTTCTTCGCTTGGGTATACAACAAAACTGTACGTTCATTAAACTTGGAATTAGTGTGCAAATCTTAAAATGCCAAAAATGATTTGACGCCCTCTTGTGGATTCTTTTCGGAATTTCGAAAAATTATCGTTTTTGAAAGGGCGATTTCTCAAAAACCGCCAATAAAGGCAGCACTACGACACATTCGGAGTAAAGCAGATACCTTATAGATTTGATTTCATTATGTCAGAACAGTAGCAGCACGTTTTGACTTGGCCATATATAATACCAAACATAGCGTGTATTCAAACTTTTATAAACAATGCAGACGTAACATATTTAAAAACGGTTTGGTATTTCAACTAAATCTATGGAGTATCTGCTTTTCTTCGAATGTGTCGTAGTGCTGCCTTTATTGGCGGTTTTGTGGAAATCGCCACTCCAAAAACGGTATGTTCGAGATATTAAACAAAATTACTATGGGGCGTAAGTCATTTTTTTGTTGTTTTATACAATTTGCAACTTATTCCAAGTTTAATGAACGTTCATTATTGATGTACGTCCAAAAAAAAAGATGTTTGATGAATTATCCAGTAAATTTAGTTAAAATACAAAATCTTTTTACAATATGTTACGTGTACATTGTTTATAAAATTGTGAATACACGTTATATTTGGTATTATATATGGCCAAGTAAAACGTGCTGCTGTTGTTCTGACATAATGAAATGGAATCTATATGGTATTTTCTTTTCTCCGAATGTGTCGTAGTGCTGCCTTTATTGGCGTTTTTTGAGAAATCGCCCTTTTAAAAACGATATTTTTTCAAAACTTCAAAAAAAAATCACAAGAGGGCGTCAAATAATTTTTTTTTATATTAGGATTCGCCGTCTTATTCCAAGTTTAATGAACATACAGTTTTGATGTATGACCAAGAGAGAAAAGTGTTTGATGAATTATCCAGTAAATTAAGTTGAAATACCTAACCGTTTTTAAATATGTTACATCTACATAGTTGATAAAATTGAAAATTATACGCTATGTTTGGTATTATATATGGCCAAGTCAAAACGTGCTGCTACTGTTCTGACTTATTAAAATCGAATCTATAAAGTATCTGCTTCTCTCCAAATGTGTCGTAATGCTGCCTTTATTGGCGGTTTTCGAGAAATCGCTATTTCAATAACGATAATTTTTTGAAATTTTGAAAATAATCCACAAGAGGACGTAAAATGCTTTTTGGTATTTTATACTTTCCGCAACTTATTCCAAGTTTAATGAACGTATAGTATATATGTATGTCCAAGAGAAAAAGACGTTTGATAAATTATCTAGGAAATTTATTGAAATACCAAACCGTTTTTAAATATGTTACGTCTGCATTGTTTATAAAAGTTTGAATACACGCTATGTTTGGTATTATATATGGCCAAGTCAAAACGTGCTGCTACAGTTCTGACATAATGAAATCAAATCTATAAGGTATCTGCTTTACTCCGAATGTGTCGTAGTGCTGCCTTTATTGGCGGTTTTTGAGAAATCGCCTTTCAAAAACGATAATTTTTTAAATTCGAAAAAACCACAAGAGGGTCAAATCATTTTTTGTATTTTAGGATTCGCCGTCTATTCCAAGTTTAATGAACATACAGTTTTGATGTATGACCAAGAGAGAAAAGTGTTTGATGAATTATCTAGGAAATTTATTTGAAATTCCAAACCGTTTTTAAATATGTTACGTCTGCATTGTTTATAAAATTTGAATACACTATGTTTGGTATTATATATGGCCAAGTCAAAACGTGCTGCTACAGTTCTGACATAATGAAATCAAATCTATAAGGTATCTGCTTTACTCCGAATGTGTCGTAGTGCTGCCTTTATTGGCGGTTTTTGAGAAATCGCCCTTTCAAAAACGATAATTTTTTAAATTCGAAAAAATCCACAAGAGGGTCAAATCATTTTTGTATTTTAGGATTCGCCTCTTATTCCAAGTTTAATGAACATACAGTTTTGATGTATGACCAAGAGAGAAAAGTGTTTGATGAATTATCTAGGAAATTTATTTGAAATTCCAAACCGTTTTTAAATATGTTACGTCTGCATTGTTTATAAAAGTTTGAATACACGCTATGTTTGGTATTATATATGGCCAAGTCAAAACGTGCTGCTACAGTTCTGACATAATGAAATCAAATCTATAAGGTATCTGCTTTACTCCGAATGTGTCGTAGTGCTGCCTTTATTGGCGGTTTTTGAGAAATCGCCCTTTCAAAAACGATATTTTTTTAAAAACTTCGAAAAAAATCCACAAGAGGGCATCAAATCATTTTTTGTTATTTTAGGATTCGCCGTCTTATTCCAAGTTTAATAAACATACAGTTTTGATGTATGACCAAGAGAGAAAAGTGTTTGATGAACTATCCAGTATATTAAGTTGAAATACCCAACTGTTTTTAAATATGTTACATCTACATAGTTGATAAAATTGAAAATTATACGCTATGTTTGGTATTATATATGGCCAAGTCAAAACGTGCTGCTACTGTTCTGACATAATGAAATCAAATCTATAAGGTATCTGCTTTACTCCCAATGTGTCGTAGTGCTGCCTTTATTGGCGGTTTTTGAGAAATCGCCCTTTCAAAAACGATAATTTTTCGAAATTCCGAAAAGGATCCACAAGAGGGCGTCAAATCCTTTTTTGCATTTTAAGATTTGCACACTAATTCCAAGTTTAATGAACGTACAGTTTTGTTGTATACCCAAGAGAAGAAAGTATTTGATGAATTTTCCAGTAAATTTAGTTGAAATACCAAACCGTTTTTAAATATGTTACATCTACATAGTTAATAAAATTGAAAATTATATGCTATGTTTGGTATCATGTATTGCCAAGTTAAAACGTGCTGCTACTGTTCTGACATATTAAAATCGAATCTATAGGGTATCTGCTCTTCTTCGAATGTGTCGTAGTGCTGCCTTTATTGGCGGTTTTTGAGAAATCGCCCTTTCGAAAACGATAATTTTGTGAAATTTATCAAAGAATCCACAAGAGGGCATAAATTTTTTTTCAGTATTTCAGACTTTACTCAACTTATTCTAAGTTTAATGAAGTGCATTATTGTTGTGTGACAAAGAGAAAAATATCTTCTTTGATGAACTATCCAGTAAATTTAGTTGAAATACAAAATCAATTTCAAATTTGTTGTATAAACATTGTTTTAAAAATTGAAGAATATACGCTATTTTTAGTATTATATATGGTCAAGTCAAAACGTGCTGAGACTGTTCTGACATATTGAAATCGAATCTTTGAGGTTTCTACTTTTCACCAATGGTGTTGCAATGCTGCCTTTATTGGAGGTTTTCATGAAACGACCATGTTACACGACGAAAATTCAGTCATTTTTAAACATCTCTCAAAGAATTATAAAAAAAATTTGTGCACTGTAACAGTCGCTTTAGCTTGTTTACTATATATTAACAATACGAGGAGTGTAGTTAATGATTGTTTTGCTTTAATTGCTATTGTGGAACTAATCAAAATATACACTTTCTTATAAAAATCATTGGGAACATTTAATTTTACGCGTGGGTATTTTCTGCGATTCTGTCAGTAACAATTTCGTGTTTTGCTGCTAGCTTCACAGAGGTCTTACAGTCTTATGGGATATAAATATGCATCATAAAATTTTTAGTTACAATTTCTACAGTCATGTGTAGCCTAGTTGTCCGTGTATAAGTTAAGTTTAAGGATAAGATAGGATTCACATATTTATCCTGGGAAGAACATAATTATCCAACATGGGATGCGAACCCACGCAAGGTACCGGTACCGTAATCCAGTAATCAGAGGTGCTCTCATTCCTACCGTACCGGTGATGTTTAGCATGATGCGCCAGACTGGCGAGTCACTTTTTAGCAAGATTTTATATCTGTATTTTCTAGTCCTACCTGTAACTGCTTGAAAATGCCACCAAGAAAAAGGCAGACAAAAGCGAAAGGTGGTAAAAAGGCTAACACTGCTAATTCAAAGCAGACGACAAGCGCTCGGGGAAAGAAGAGAAAAGATACAACTGCGTCTGTAGTCCCAGATGTTCCAACAAAAAAAGAAAAGATCGAAGGTATTCTTATATCTTGATTCTGACATGCAGAGACATTATTAGAGATGCCTAAACTATTGTAATACATTCAAAATTAGTTATATTCAATATAACAATGTCTTCATTTCAATTAAGAATAAATTTGCATATATTTTATATTTTTTCAAATTGATCGCCCAACAAAAATATTATTTGTCTTCATTCTACATGTGTTAACACTAGGACGGGGCAAAATATTTTATCAGCTTCGAATCTGAAACCCTGACAAGGTTCTGAAATATTATTTCTGTAATGACCATTCATTATAGTTAAAGAAGAGGCTTCATCAATTACAGAGGAGAAAGGGGATTTAAAGAAGCTCAAGTTTACTGGAAGTGTTCCAGTTGATGAAGCTTGTATAAAATGTTCCAAGGGATATCATGTGTTCGAAAAAGATGGTATTAGATTTTTTTATTATTTGAAATGGAAATATCTTACATTGCGAACGTTAATTCCTTGTAAGGTGACTTATTTTGCTTTTATATACGAAAGGGCATGTTTTTGCCATTTTGCGCGTTGCTTCACAATACATCATATCATAACTACGAAATGATCCGAAACCTCGGAATACACTTTGATCAGTGCTAGCCGTTATCACGAACGCTCCCTTATTTGCCGATTTATTAATGCATACGCACTGTGACGTAACACGCAAAACGACGAAAACATGCCTGTTCCGTTTTTGGTGGACAGTAACGGGCGAGGGCGATCTCTGAAGACAAGGATTGGTAGCGCTATAAACGCTATCCAGCGAATACAGAAGTTAATTGTTGCAATAATTCAAAGCTGCTGGCGTATCTACTAGTGGTGCGCGTACCCCAGATTGAGAACAACTGCTCTAAAGCATAGATTGATGACATGTTGGGACAAAATTTCGGAAGAAACCTCGCCTGCCTCTTGCAGTCAGGTTCCAAACAGATCGAGGCGTGTAGTCAAGGCAAAGGGAGGATAAATCAAAAAATAATAATGAATTCTATTATTTATCTTTATAATGCTATTTTCTGCAAAATAATTTTTTCTTTTTTACATTTTATATTTAAGATATTTTAATAAACATTTGTCTACACTTGGTATGATCACCCTGTATGATATGGAAAGTCGAAACGGTTATCTATTGATACATCCAATGAAAAGTATTAACGAACTATTGGGCGTGCATGGAAGGCTTTATCTCATTTTAAATGTACTATTCAATATCTAGGAATCATCTACAATGCCATGTTGAACCAGACTAATATTGGAGCCAACAATAATAAGTATTATATCCTGCAAGTATTGGAAAATGATGAAAAAAATGAATATATATCATGGTTTAGATGGGGCCGAGTAGGTAAGATTGTAAATTGTTACTCTTTAATTAATCACACTAGATTTATTTATGTTAGTTTCCATTGAACTAGAATTTTTCCATGTTTAACTAAGACGATATATTTTGGGGGTTTGAGTTTCCATTTTCATGATTTGACTTTTAATAATAATGAAGCTGGTATTTTATGGTGCTGGTGATATGATACAGCGATGACCTTTCCAATTTCTCTGAAGTAAAGTTTACAAATTGATGGAGGACTCTAAGTCAACCAATGTATATCTTGTTGTTGGAGAGAGATAGAATATGATTTACATAATCATCTCGGGGATAGGAAAGTTGATGACACGGCTTAATCATATGGCAAACCAAGATCTTTCGTCCGGTTAACAGTCCATGTTAGGTATGGAATTAGTTAGCATGTTATTTGTTTCAGATGCATGGGCTTGATGGTGGAGGAAGCTGTATCCGGCCAGCGATTACATGACCCCAACCCCCCCAAACACGCAAGCGAGTAGCCCTTTCGGCTGTTCATATTTTATTTCATAAAAATATTTACAGGAAAGGTAGCTGGGAAATCTTTGAAAAATCATGGGTCTAATTTTGGAGCAGCAACATGGTCTTTCAACTGCAAATTTTCTGACAAGACGCGGAATAGATTCTGTACTAAAAACTTCGTTAAGCAACAAGTAACTGTTAAATATATCAATGTTTTTCAAAATAGCATTCTAAAGATAATTTCGTTTTATTAACTGCATCTGCACTTTGAGAATGGTACAATTAGTGTATAATAATAAATTTATGTTCAGGTATCGTTCTTTTCTCATGGCCAGTATTTTCAAAAATGCCATTTCTCATATAATTTTCAAAATTTAAATACCTAGTAAATATGTGTTCATTATTGTGGCAATCCTCTAATAACAGGGATTCTATGATTTGGTTGAAATGGATTACGGAGAAAGTTCAGAAAAAGACATAAAGAGAGTGGAAAAAATTAAGGAAGAGGTATGATGATATTTTCATGATAATTTTATTGTACATTCCAGTCATTAATGCTGCATAAAAACGGCCACACACAAGAACATAGCTTCCAGTAATACTTTACCTGACTATATGAATACAGCAATTTGAACATTGATTATGTAACCAGATCATATTATGATGAAACACGACCTCTCACCCAGCTGTTACTCGCACCCATAGGAAAAAGGCAACTGCTCTTGATGATGTATGGACAGGGATGGTAAATTAAGCCATGTCTACCAGAGTGGTAGGAATTCATGCTGAGTTGTCAAGAGTTTGATAGCATGGTTTGTTTATTGATGTTTGAGCTGAAGCTCGAGTCATAATTTTGAATTTGACATGGTCAAAATAAGACTTTTAGTGGTAATAATCTTGGATAGCCGAAACCAAATATTTTACTATTCAGATTCAGATATTTATTTTCGTCATGCAAAAAACAATGCGCGATATGAAAAATGAATAAATAATATAATGTAACAAAATGTCAAATGGATATCGGCTTGTTGCAGTTGACGCGGAGTCGCGAAAAGACTCATAGAGTCATCTAGTCAGCGACACCTTGTAGCTGAAATTAAGCAGCAAATATAAGAAACGGGACACTCAATATTACACATTAATTAATAAATTAACACGATCATACAAAAAAGACAAAAAAATAAATAGAACTCAATATATTGGACACAATCATTCGAAAAATGAAAAACAACAAGAAAAAAACCTGAGTAACTACGGGATGCCACAATCCCTGTGGAATGATTAACAGACATGAAATAGGCTATAATCATACAAGAAAAAGAGCGGCAATTCCGAATACATTCTGAGAATTTCATGTGAATATAAAGATAAAATAATATATCTTTATGTGGATCATATCTAAATATCATATCTAACGATACAAATGTGAAAGTCATTTTATTTTCTGTGTTGATTCATATGTTTTGATTTATTTGTGTGACAGGTCAAAAACCCTGATTTTTGAATAAGAATGTTCTAAATTATACAAAAATTTACTATATCAAATACAATGAATTTTGAATGTATTCGAATATTCGATTCGTTTTTGACATCCCTGAATAACACAAGTTAAAATTTTGTATAAAACATTAATAAGTCGAATCGTTTGCCAAAGTTTTATTTACAAAATTTTGTTTGTTTGAGCTGGAGTCAGTTTTGAATGGCTCAAGCTCGAAATTGTATGTTTATTTCCACTGGCTCAAGCTCGTAATTGTGTGTATATTTCCCTGAACTCGATAGCCAGATCAGAATATGGAATTGAGAATAACTTATCATTATAAAGCATAGAAAACAATTCAAAACTACCTGATTTTTTATATAGCATGTCAAAGCGAAGCCAGAAGCTGCTTCTAAATTGGACAAACGTGTTCAAGATGTCATGCAACTAATATTTGATATTAAAGAATTTGAGGCCTGTGTGAAGGAACTTGAATTTGATGTCAAGAAAGCTCCTCTTGGAAAGTTAACAGCAAAGCAAATAAAGGTAAATAACCATAGATAACCATGTGATGGCTGAGTGCAGAGGTTCCCAAACTTTTTGTTCGTCAAATTATAAGGCGCCAAATTATAAGGCTCCAAAAATTGCTGCCTTTGAATAAAACTCAATTTTGTAATCGTTAATGCGTCATGGCGTCTCCTTTGGGAACCGCTGGCTTAGTGGTTATCTTCAGTCCATTTCTTTCTCAATGAATAACGCAATGAATTACGTAGGAAAGCTGTATTGGAAAGAATATCATCCATCCGAGAATAATTAGTAGCTCCCTATGCATCGGGGGTGGATTTTATAGTAGCCTACTTATTCTTCATGATTAAAACGCCTCTTACAGGAACAGGTTTATAGTATTTATATGTATTAATATTTCAACATGAAACTGTATTGATATTTCTGATAAGAGTATAAATGACTGCCAATTTGATCCATTTTCTATCACCGGTATATTATATTAAGACATTTTATTGATCCAGGCAGGATATGAAACCCTAAAAAAAATCGAAGGATTTGTTCTAAAGAAGAACTTTGGCGAAAAATTGTCTGAAGCTTGCAGTGAATTTTATACGAGAATTCCACATGACTTTGGTATGAAAGTTCCAACTCTAATTAAGACAACAGAACAGATTGAACAAAAAGTTCAACTATTGGAATCATTGAGTGATATCCAGGTATGAAAGTAATATTTACGTTCATTGGGCATTTTTATGGACTATGCTGCTATTATCTGGGATAAAATGAAACATTATCCACTTGGCTTACCTACATGAAAGTTTACATTTGGACTGGATTTATTTCCATGTGTTATCACATATTCACATCAATTTGATTTCGTCAAGATAGGTTATATATTACATGTGCCTGATATTGCCATAATTCTTTATATAGACGTGCAGACCAAGTATAGGTAATAGGGGTCTCCTTGTGTGAATAGTTTTATGTTGTCATGACAGGAGGGGAAAGGGTTCAAAATCTAAAATTCCTTTCTGAAACTTTCCTTTCTGATTACGCGCTTGTCAAAAAGGCATGAGTTTTCTGTTGCCTAAAAAGTTCAATCCATAACAACTACGAGAATCTAAAATGTCTTTCTTTATTAATTTAGTTGTGTTCAGCGGACCATGCGGTTGTGTCTTCTCATGACAAAATAAAAACATTATTACTCTAAAATACCACGGCAATCTGCGGACATAAAAATGTGTAGTAAACTGCCTGATTACAGTATATCTTTTATTGATACTTCGATTTCAGTGACTGTATGTTTTCCAACGCCAACCAAACATGAACATGAAATTTTGAGATTTACAATACCTAAAGAAGCGTTTTCAATCCGTCGTGGGCCTCCTTCGTTAAGGACACTATGACACCTGACACTATGATAAGAGCCTAATCTTACTATGTTGGTGTTACATCTCTGATATAAATCTATTCCCACCACAATATTGGATAGGCAATGTCGAATAGAAAAGATTCTGGATATTCCAAAAAATAGTATATCCTTGTGGATCAGTGGTATCTTTCACTGTTTTTATTAGTGAAGGTTTGAAAACTCCTTCTGATTATAAATAAAATATTTTATTATATCTTGCAGCAAAATTACCGAATATGCGAAATTTTCAAATGAAATTCAACAAATTAAGGAAATGGTCAAGATTTTTTATTTTAAAGCTGCAATAGTTGCTTCAAATACCATAGTCAATAAAGTCATCTGTTTGATTGTTTGTGTTTTCAGATCGCAATAGATATGATCGAAGAAGACAAGGCAAAAGCCGTAGATGACGTCAATATTAAAGATCGGTATTATCAAGCTCTTGGATGTAAACTCGAACCATTTGATAAATCAGATCCTCAGTATAAACTGGTGTGTTCTATATCATTTACATTATATACTTTATTCGCTGATTGACATTTTTAATCAATTAATTGCTTTATTTAGGATAGGATAGGATTTACATATTTATCCCGGGGGAGAGGAAAGCCGATATGACGGCTTATCCATATGGCGAACCACGGCCTCTCGTCCGGTTACCATTCCAAGTCGGGTATGGGATTAGTTTTACTGTATTGTTTGTTTTCGGAAGCATGGACTTGGTGGTGGAGGAAGCCGTAACCGACCAGCGGTTACGTGAACCACCCAACGACGGCGAGGAGTCCAGCAATCCTCTCGCACATAACCATCCCTGCATGGGATTCGAACCTGCGAACCCACACAGAGTAATTAGAGGTGCGGTGGCGAGCGTATTCCTAACGCTTAGCCCGTTGAGCCACACCGCCGCGCCGATTTACCTCTTAATAGTTCCAAAACTAGGTATTTGTACAGTTAACTATTACTTTTTTTAATATAATACACCAGTCCTTTTCAACCTAAATTCTAGACCTTTATGTAGCTCTGTAGGAATTTGGTGAGAGTTTCTCTCTTGTGTTAATTTCTCAATACCCATTTGTGTGAAACAGTTTTTTCTGCTTTAAAAACAGAAGTCACTGGAGTAGTGAATATTTGACTTCACACATTTGTAGCCTATCAGGGTTAGTACTACAACAACAATTTTTAAAAGCACTGCTAAACACTGTAAAAGTATATCACAATTATCACCCTATTTATTATTGAACTGTAAGTAAATGTAATTCATTTTATTTCATACAGCTGGAAAAATACATCACTAACAGTCATGGATCCAGGCACAATTATTTGAAAATAGATGTTGATGATATTTACAAGGTCGAGAGGGAGGGTGAAGAGAAAAGATTCAAGAAAAATATTGGAAATAGGTTTGTCATAATACTATTTCATTGTTATTCAGTCACATACCATTTTCCCAAGTTTCCCTTTCTAATTGTCTTGTAATTGAGAAGTCTCAACTCTCAATTTTGAGTCACTTTTTGAAATGTTTTTATTCTATAAAATAGCGTGACTTTTATATTACAAAAGATAAATGGTCATATATATGGACATGAGGGCCAAAACGAAGTAGTAGGCCTACACATGGGCAACTTGTCACAGCAATTTTAAATATGCTGAGACGTCATCACACACAAAAAATGAATTCCTCAAAGCAGGGCTACTCAACTATTTTTACCGAAGATCCTCATACACAACTTCAAAATTATTTGGGTCCGGTGTTTCCAGAAATTATATTTCAGCATCTTTAAACACGCTCTTCCTCGGCCGGCTAATGATTATTAGCTTATCAAGATTGTTCATTGTGGTGTTATAGTTCTTTTCATATATATTCAAAACTATAAAAGTGATATTATAAAAGGAAACTTCAAAAGTGGGGCCAATGATCCAAAATAAAGAATTAGGTGCGGTCCGGTTCAAATACTCAAAAGGTACGGATTCGAACCGCGGTCCTGTCTTGTTGTTATTATTATTATTATTTTAGAATGCTATTGTGGCATGGATCTCGTTTGACAAACTGGTGTGGAATATTGAAACAAGGTTTAAGGATTGCTCCTCCTGAGGCTCCTATATCTGGACATTCATTTGGCAAAGGTTTGTTTGTGGGAAATAAACTAAAGATGTTTAGTATGTTTCATCGGTTTGCATCACCTGGTTTTGATGTTGAACAGCTCATTTAAATACAGTCAGAGCAAAAGGCATTTAAATGTGCAGTATAAAGATGGTTTGATTTATTCTGTTATATTGTTTTACTACTTCTGTAATGTGTTAACTCTTCCTTTTTCTGTAGGGGTTTATTTCGCAGACATTGTCACAAAATCTGCTCATTTTTGTTGCACAAACGCAAGGCAGCCTAATGCCTTTCTTCTCCTTTGTGAAGTCGCTCTGGGAGATGTCCATGATGAAATAGAATGGCGAAATCGTCTTATATTACCTAAAGGGAAGCTAAGCACCAAAGGTGAGAAAAGTTTAGCCATAGATTCTTATATTCATGATATTTTTTCGGCGCTCCAGAGAAGTATTTGTATCAAGATGACGCACAACCGTAACCTGGAACACATACTATATTCAGGCTGTGCGCCATCTTTGTACGAATACTTCGGGAGCACTCTTCTATCTGCCCGAGCATGTTGAACCTACAAGAAATTACATAGGCCATTGGGGATATCAGACTAGATTTGGACATTTTATGCCAGACAACATGGCAAGATTATTGAATCTTTTGTCTGAAAATTTCAGTATGTCTGGAATTTGGGTTCTAGGTAAAATTCCCAACTTAATAATACTATTGGAAAATATGGTTTTGAGCGTTTTATCTAGTGTAAGCGCGCTGGTCGAAGATTTAACCTGTCAATGTCAGGGATGGGAATAGTTGACCAGTTATTTGTTTTTCTGATATGCGCAAACTGCGGCCCGCGGGCCAAATCCGGCCCATTGGGTAATTCAATCTGGTCCGCCTGGTTCTGCCACAACCAAAGTAAAACATTTTGATATTTCCGATGAAAAATAGCTCAAGGAATTTGTTGAGATTGCGGGTGTTTTCAACACTTGGTATGGTATGGTATTTTTATGAACAAGCAGACATAGTGATTTTGTATCACAGCTGTGGGTGAGGAAGGACCTGACCCGAAAGGTTTTCACACCATGGAGTGTGGAACTGTTATACCCATGGGAAAAGCAAAAAAATTCAAACGGGATAAACACAGATTTCTGGAACACAGTGAATATGTTGTTTTTGATGTCGCTCAGATTAAAGCAAGATATCTTGTCAAAGCCAAGATCCACTGGCAAAAATAATATGCTGGATGTTGTATAGTAGTTAGCATGAATGCATTATATCAGCTGTTTTATTGATTGCAATGTAGTATTCAAATCCATATATAATGTTCCATTTTACGTCTTCAATATCAGGTAGTTATGAGTATTTATGTTATGTTTTATTTATTCAGTATTATGAGCACTTGATAATTAGTAGATGTTACTTATATAATAATATATATGTTCAAGAAAAATATATACAGTATGTGTTTTTTGTGGTTTTGTTGGTGGGTCGGGCAACGGTACAGTCTTGTACACTTCCTCAAAAAAGTATGTTGATATCCAGGGAGACCGTTACCATGTATATAACGTCTTAAGAATAATTAATTGCTCTCTCTGACCTTCTACGCACTCAGCAATACAATACCACCATGATGATAAACACACATGGTATTAAATATAGATTACTAGACTTCCAAAACGTATGCTGGAGTATATATCATGGGTGCACAACGTGGCATGCCATAAGCTCGAACGTGGCACCCAAACAATTTTGTAAGAATTGTGTTTAGGGGAACTTCTCAAAGCGCTTCAGGGACGCAAATGAATTGGTTCAGAGATCGGTCTTGATGGACGTATATATAGAGGACTCTTACACTCCACTGTAACCTCTTGAGGTCAAACAAGAAGTGATGTGCATCGCTATTTCTCCTTAGAGGCCCAGGCCCGGCATTTCATATTTGGTTTACCAAAAACGTTTTCAAGGCAGTAGTTTTTCAGGACATTGAATAATTACAGAAAATATTTAGTTTAAGGAAATTTCTCTCACAATACCAACAGTTATTCGAACGTGGCGTGCAACAAGGTTATTTTGAAAACTTCGGCACATATCCTCATTTGAGTACACCTCTGAACTACGGTAAGCCCTAAGAAACATGTCAAACATATGCCAAATCAGAGCCTTTAGTCCAGACAAATTGTCTACAACTTTGTAATATTATACGGATAGCACAGGGCTAAACTGACAATACACCCAAAGGTATGGATTACTTCCCCCTGTGAAGCAGCTAGTATCAACATTTGGAAGCAGTCCACCAGCCCTTGGAAAGCCGGATTATTTATCTTATGACAAACAAGAGACGATCGCCCAGGTTTTAAAGCAACGTCGAATCAATTACTATCACTACCTAAAAATCTTCACACTGCACAGAACCACATCTAATCTCTTATCCAATTCAAAATTTATTGACATGACATAAAAACAAAAAGCACTATATTCCATTTCCATATCAGAATTCAGCTTAGGACAGTCATCTCACTATCCTTGAGTATGCCAGAATGTGCTACTTTGACAAAGACTTGAAAACAAACTACAAAAAGTATTTTTTGACGCATAAGCGCGTTTCAGATTGATGTCTTTGGACAAGTTCAGCAGATTTGTACAAAATGTGAATTGAAAGCATCCTGCTAGGCAATCTTCCACTCCTGGAATAAGTTGAAAATAAGATCATTAAACTCTAACGTTCAGGAATAAATCCACTCATAGCATTGAATAGACCAGTAGTGTGCAAGTAAACATGCGTAATCCTAATATGACAGTTTATGTTTGAAAAGGCGCTCATGTGGGTAAAAATAAGTAGTGTTTCGTCTTGACAGTTTCAACAAGTAGTTCATTACCTTTAGTCAAATTCACGTCTATGATAGCGGTCTGGATCATAGTAAGATGTGACAACCACCCTGTTGGCAAATTTTCTTCCAGAGAGAGCATTGCAGGCATTCTGAGAATCACTTGTGTCCATAAACTCCACAAAGATTTTGCCAACTCCAGGCACATCCGTACCAGGAACTGGTCGTGGTATCTCCAAGCTTTTCACCTTATAAATTAGAGAGTTATTATGTATATGCTTTGCATATTGTTCGGGTTTAATAAAGGAAAAACGACTCTGAAAATTTAATCTAAAACGCCCCTATGTTCAGTGCAATAAATTGTTCATAAAGTAAATTAACAGCTTTTTACCAGTTACTATAACCAGAAAATTGTTTGCTTGGAGTACTGGAAGGAAACTAAAATTGTTCCACCATGACCCTACCATAGGTACTGTATACCAGTAGCCATGATTGTCAACAGTCTCTTGTTAATTACTGATTGAAGCAAAAAGATGGATGCAGTCTCAACGAAAAGAGAAGTTGGAAATGTGGGAGATATAGCCAAGCCCATTATAATTACTAAATTCCTTTTACCTCCTTTGGTCAAGGAAATGATAAATTCGGATGTCAAATTTATAAGTATAAAAGCACGAAATTAACATGTATTAGATAGTAAATCTAGATTCAGCGGCCACTGATATAGAAACAAGACAGAAATCGTACATGAACTGATCCTATGAGAACCAAAACATTTTCTATTTCATCTTTGTAACTATTTTCATCTTTGTTTAAGACTAATACTAACCTTTCCAAGTTTGTTGCATTCATCCTTCACATCTTCCATGATATCTTCGTACTCTTCTTCATCTTGTAATTCTTCTGGTGTCACCATATTGAGAAGACATATAACTTCTGTGACCGGTCCTTGTTGCGCAGCTGTTACAAGACCAGGTACCTGGAAAATATATATAACCATACAGATAAGCTCAAATTCAAAGTCCCCCGTATTTTACGAACCATGTGGCAGTAAATTGCCTATATTGGAGTTTTGTCCATACCCAAGGTGCATCGGGCTTTAAGACCGGAACAGTTTTTAAGGAGTGTCGGGTTACTGTATAAAGCTCATTAAACAAAACAAAACTCAACATTTTCTTCAGTTATTGTATATTATTCGAAGAAATGTAGGCAGTTTGTTTAAAAACAATAGTATCGTTAGTGGTTACGAGTGTAGGCAATAAAGCATTACTTGACTCATTCATTAGGTGCATTAGCTTATCAATTTTGGGAAAAAGGGAATTTAAAGAACGCCTTATGGTCCGTAAAATATTGTTGGTTGATAAAACTTATAATTTCCACTTCAGATCCAAACTTTAAAAAAATACGAAGTTTGACCACTAAATGTGTGCATATACATACTCCTATAATTATATGTTAAGAGTGCTTAGATAACTGAATCTTTATGGTCTTCGCATATTTACCGGTACATCATCTTGTATCATACAGCCACGCAATATATACATAAAAAGATGAACAGGTTGAAACAGTCTCTTCTATTTACAGAAAGAATAGCTGTGTCCTGACTCCTGAATACTCAGAAAAATAGAGTTCCGCAAAAATGTTCACCTGTAGAGTAACTGGTGTTGACAGCATGTTCATTAATCCAGTCTTGGCTCCAACACTTGCTCTTTGTACAATGAGTTTCTTTTCACCCAGTTGCATTCCATTCAATCCAGCAATGGCTTGATCGGTGATTGTAGCATCCACATATTCACAGAATGCATATCCTAAAATATTACAAATTTTTACACCCAATGACTGACCCATTCCGAGTGATTTCACAGCAACATAGCCATGGAGCGGGAAAAATTAACGGTAGATTGTAAATTCTGAGAAATTGAAAAAACAAAAATTTTCCAACTTGACAGAAATATATACTTAGCCTCGACTAAAATTTCAATTCAGAGGAAAAACAAATTTAAATATTTTGGCATATGCAAGACTTCTATAATTGTGCCTTTTGTCGACTTTTGAGTTCCGACCTGAAATTCGACTTAGAAATCTGAAATTTAAACTAGAACACCCGGCAAAATCTGAAAACTTCTACTCTTGAAAAGCTTGTCAGCTCTAACTACAGTAGGAACATGCTAAAATTCAGGTATCAAAATTTGATTGAATGAGTTTGCAATGACAGGGCAATGGTATAAACGTACAATAAAGTACTTCGTGTTGTGCTACCACTGAGGTAAAATCCTCTGCATACAAGCACCATGTATAGTTTTGTAATGTTGTCAATTCTAATGTAGGAAAACGTGTCGGAAAATGTTATATATTACCTTTTGATAAAGCCGTAGCACTGTCTTTCACAAGATTAAAAGCCCGAAGCGGACCAAATGAAGTCAACAACTCTTTTACTTGGTCTTCATTCAAGTAATTTGGTAGACCACCAACAAATACCTGAACACACAAAATTATATGAGAGATTTACCAAATTTGACTACGGTTATTTTACATAATTTCAATACAACATAATATTACCTTATGTAGAGAATCTTGTACGACAGTTGAAACAACACCTGGCAGATGAACAGAAGGTGTTTCTGAAGATCCTGGCAGTGGTTTGTAGTCACTTGGTCGTCGAATTTTCAATGATTGACCCATGAAATTTATACCATCAAAAGCAAGAGCCTTAAATAGAAACAATACTCCAGCTTGATATCTACTTGGCAATAAGTATTAATAGCTGATGGTAAGTTTTGCATCACACTATCTGGTGATATAGAACCAGGGATGTCCAAAAGGAATCAAATACTCAAATACATTCAAAATTCAATCTATTATATATATATAGAAAATTTCGCATTGAGGAATATTTTTATTGAAAAGTAAGGGATATAGCCATCAGACCAGTAGATCAAACCGTAACAAACAAAACAGAGAAAACAATGTCCTTTATATTTATGTTGTTTTAGATATTTTATGTAATTTTTTCACATGCACTTTCCCTCAATGTAAAATGTATACAATATTTCAAATTCAAAAACATTTTCTCATAATGTATTCCAAATAGAAAAATATTCGGCTTTGGCCATTTTTGTAGCCTATAAAATAAATTCTGGTCTACTGGTGTGATAGATTTTTAGATTTTAGATAATAGATTTCATTTCAACATATAAAGCAGTTAAGCAAATAGAAATGGCAGCGAGTTGAGAAATGGTACACAATATCGCATTCGTACATATTATAGAAATTGGACTTCTGTCCTGTTTATTTATCTAGCGGTGAATTATATCAAATCTCTTTCTAAAAATCTTTATAACAACAACAATAAATAGTTATTGAAAGTGACTGGTAATATTTTTATTTTTCAACACTCGCGTATGAGCAAGCAAGCGAAATCCCTTTTTACACCCCTGAATAATCAAGTTCATTTTATTAAATTTATATATCTAATAGTAATAATATATCAAGATTTGAAAAATTTCTGTATTTACCTGTGTAGTTTCATCCACAGATCTGAACTCTAGAAAAGCAAAATTTTTGTCAAGGTTTATCTGAACAGCTAATACAGGGTTTCCGGGCGCTTGTGCAAGACCAGACATTTTCATTTGTTGATTGAAAAAATCCATCATGGCATCCTCTGTCACCCCAAAAGGTATGTTACCCACATATAATCTCCGAGCTTGGAACAAGTAGAAAGGCTGAAAAACAGTAAAACAATACATCCGTGTATAAATTGCTTCACTATAAATCCATTTAATTCATGAAACAGGTAAAATTACCCACACAAACCTGACGAGTCATCTGTGTCCCCGGTAGAGGTGCCGCTGGACCCGTAGGTGTCCCGGTGCCAAGACTTGGAGTTGTAGCCATAAGAGGGATCTGTCCAGCTGCTTGCATGGCCTTGTATTGAAGTGGGGTGAGGTGTTCAAACCCAGATGGTGCCACGTCCCAATATTTGTATTGTTTCTTTTTCTTTGTAGCTGTAGTTGGTTTTTCCTTGCTTCGAGATCGACTGCGTCGCTTTCTATTCTCTCTTGACCTCGATCGCCTGTTGGGTTAAAAAAAATTTGGGGTCGCTGCAATTTAGAAAACAAGAATAATAAATCTTTGTAATATAATAAATATGCCTACAATAGCCATGGACCGAAAAGCCAAATCACTTGGCACAAAATAACCTGCATTATTAAAAACTTGAAATTCTATTAGAATATATTCAATATTATTTATTTAGTTATATTATTTTAAATATAAAAAGAAAAATCCATTCTATAAAAATATTTTATAATAAAATCTTACTTACTTTGATACTTACTCCATATCTGATAATAAAAAAGTCAATAAACTACATGAATTTAAAAAAATTACTAAATATTATTCATCAGATAAAGACGTTTGGAAATGAATTCAAAATCAGACGTCGTCGCATACACAGTACCTTCGACGTTTTTCTCTGCTTTTGCTTCTTCTTTTCCTATCTCTATCACGATCCCGATCTCTGCTGCGTCTCCGGTCATGATCTCTATCACGTGACCTGTCTCTCCTCTTACGATCACGCCTGTCTTCATTGCCACCTTGTGGTTTTATATCTTCTCCATATCCTTGATTATTTCCAGGTGGATAACCACCATTTTCATATGAATCAGGACCAGCCTCTTGCTGAAAATAATGTAAATAATTTTATCAAAAACCTTTTTTGAATGTTTGATTAGGTCTTGTCTCATTCTACCGAAATTAGAAATCAATCAAGCATGCCTGATCAGATGAAAAAATTGCGACACACTATTGCTTCTCATTTTTGGCTCCCTAAAGAAAAACTATGGTTGTACCAGTTGGTAAAAGCAAAGGAATATTTTCAGCAATATCAAACACTGAAACTTGAATTATTATACAAATGTATGGATAAAATGTAATTTCTAAATTTACATGATTTACCGTATAAGCTCAAGAATTGATATTTTTTTAACTGAATAAATAATTCATGTATTGTCTAACGTTTAGTTACCACTTTATCAATCATCATGTATTCAAGTGTACAGTACGATACCGTACTGTACCGGTATGCTCGTATGACGTGGAGGCAAAAATGCAGTATTTTCACTATAACAATTATATTATGCATAAATATTTTAATTCAGATACTGAACCAAATTACCGTACGTTATGGAATTAAAATATAATTGCCAGCCTAGAGAGAGAGAACAAACCGGAATACACTACCCATACACTACCTTCATAAAGGCCTGTTGGTTCTGGTCCATATTGTACTTCCTGAACCTCCAATTTCGACAATACAATTAAAAATTAGGTACGAATAATTTCAATTCACTGAGGTTTCTAATGTATTACGAATTATTCACCCACTGACAGACTGACGGCTGGCGAGCAGTACAAAACAATTGCAGACGCAAATATGTCAGACTCGAGGAAAGGAACTACAAGTCACGTGATTATTCCTCATCACTAGAGGCGATAGTGACACATACACATTATGAAAAAGGATACTCAATTATTAGGCCGCGAGCCGAGGCCATTTATCTTTCAGTTTCGTAGCGCACATCAGGTAACTACCTGAAAATGATTTTAAAATGTTCCCTAGAAATTTAGTAACAAATATTGCCTTGTTCCCACTTCCAAAAGTTGCACGTTTCACAGAAAAGACGCTTTTACTACAATAAATATGTGCATTGGTACATTTACATTGATAATGACCATGCTGAAAACCTCTTGAACGCCCCAACTATACTAGATCCAGGATGGAGTGTAATTATTTTTATTCCCAGTACTCCTCTCAAATCTATTTTTATCAATGCGGACCCTACTAACAGTAATTTGACTGACTTGTATACATCACCCAAAGGCTCAAGTTTTTATTAGCAAAAAATATTTCTCATAGCATTAAGTCAGCAAACATAGATATAGTTCGAGTTATGACATTCCCTATAAATATATGTCCTATGAATATATAATAGGGGGCACTCAGTCTTCCGCATTATCAATCCAACATTCCTCAGATGTGTATAAATTTTCTTCTTGCCAACACATGCCTTTCAATGAAAGCTTTTCTCCCAATTGTCATCATAAAAGTTCATCATTAAGTTTTTGAATGTACTTGACGTTGACAATGTGAAAGTTTTATTTATTTTTTGCATAAGTTGCTAAGTGAAATTTTCCCAGACGTGACCAATTTTCGTGATCATGATTCTCAGAAGTGGTTCTCAATCTTCTCCAAATCTTTTCTGTAACTGTTTTCCACACCGCTGCTCCTTCCAAGCTCCAATGCACATATCCCATGATTTGTTATCAGCTGGCATGTTGAACAAAAATTCCACCTAACTCAATATAAGATATCTATTTAGGATGTCATTATTTTCTGTATTATTTCTGTATTTCTTCTGTAATAGAAAATTTTTTTTTTTTCAATTTTCAAGAATTCTAATATGCATAATTAAAATAGTGAATATGGGGGGAGCTGACTCTGATGACCGTATGGTCGTATCGCTCCTCCCAGTCTATACCGAAAAACTATACATTTTTATTGTTGCTATTGTTTCAGTGTTTTTTTTTTCTGGTTGACGAAAATAAATCTCTCTCTCTCTCTCTCTCTCTTACCATCTGTCCTATTTTCTCTGCTTTTCCGGTATCATGGGCCAATGAACGCAGACTTCTGCACGACGTAACAGTCAAGTTAGTCAGCTGTAGGTGGATCCCCAGTGGTCGGATGAATATCAGATGTACTACAACTGCTCGCTTTTGCGTTGAGTAGCCTTTCCATAGTTTTTTTTCAGTTACCGGTAATATTAGTTCAGTTATCAGTTAGGAGGTGTTGAAAAGTATAGGTAAGATATTAAACACTTGTATATCCTTACCATAAATAGCAATATTAGTTGAGCACTAGCTCATAAGACGTTGTTAAATAGGTACGGAGCGGTACCGGTAACTCCAAGGAAGGCTAGACCTAGAATAATATGTCACAAACAACGATATTTTCTGGCTTGCATGAAATGTTTATGATTAATTTAATGACTCTTCTTGACTATTCAGCAGACTTATACTACTATATAGGCCACAGCATATTTGGAAATAGAAATGAATGGCTGTTTCTGTAATGCACGATTGTGTGAAAGAGAAGAAATTATTCAATTTTACTAATGTCGGTTGGTCTAAATCTAAATTCATAGAGTCGACAAGAACCTGGGAAGCAATGATAAGTTATGCCGGAGTGGAAAGAAAGGTAGCATTGGAAACGATTGAGAGGTGAGAAATCAAGTTGTAGACAAACAGTTGATGTTTTAAAAAATAGTCTATAGCCTAGTCCATACTCATACTGTCATAGGACATTTCAGACTGTGATATATCAAAATTTAGTGTAGATATAGTCTAGTAATGGTATGCAAACACTGCTGGACTGTAGTACATGCAATGAATATATATACGCTCATTTAGTACATCAGATAAAATGCATTATGTATTCAAGGTATTAGTTAGTATTTAGGGGTATTTTTAAACTCATGCTGCTCCAAATATTATTTTCTTCCTCATTTTAGATACTGTACTACAAAAGAAAACGGCAATGTTCCACCAATCCGACCTAACGCAGGCTCTGATCCCTGCTGCTATCAGTGCTATAAAATGGATTAAACAAGAAGTCTTGAAGCTTAAAGGTATATGAGAATCATAATAGTTGAAAACAGCTTAGATGGGCTATTCATATTGAAATACTTTAGCACTTTTCTGCAATTGGAACTGCCCATCAAATTCATGTTGGAGACTTCATTGAGATTTTCAATTCATTTTTTTCTCTCGACTATGAAGATCTTTTGAGGTTAACGAGGCATTAATAAATAAAGCTGAGGAATTTGAAGAGGATAGAAGAATGTAAATGATACCAGGGCACGTCTATTTAACACTGTCAAACATAAGGATTATACTCTCCACCCAACAATGATTCACTGAAGAAGCATGTGGCCCTCAAATCAGTTCTTGAGTTGGCAAACTGCAAGTGTAAGAAAAATAGACAAAATAATTTATGAAAGTGTGCCAAAATCAACTTAAATTGCACAGATTTTTGTTTTTGTATTGACTGCAAAAATCACAGTACAGTCGATTTTTGAGATAGTGGATTTCGAAAACAATTCAGAAGAAAGTGAATTAGATATTACAGTTGATTTAATAAGTATCATTTATTTGTTGTTTTTTTCGGACATTTGTTAGTGTCGTAGTCCTGTTTCTAGTAATATTATTGCCTTTGTTCAAATACATAACCACATAAACTAAAAAAAGATTAATTGTACTATTTCTGTTCACTATGTTATGTACATATTGTACATTCATTTAATTTTCTTGACTTTTGCTGTAAATTTCTAAGTGAGAAATAACTGATTTATTTGTGCTTACGTGCTCACGATGTTAATTTGTGACTTCATTGCTTAAAAATAAATACGTTTGATAGCTTCTATAAAACGGATGTAGCTTTTTATGCTGTTCTTGTTGTAAACTGCTTGTGGTTATTACATAAAATTTATTCGCAAATGTGAATCAGCGTTGTTGGTGTCGCTGCTTTCGAGGTCACTCCCAACTCCTGTCACACAATTAAAGTATTTTTTGTTGTTGGTTACATGTATGCCATATTTTTCGTAATCTACCTAATAAATTATGATTGACTGAGGAAGTCCGATTTTGGTCAGGCAAAACATTACAGGAATACATTTGTGTTAGTGTGCTGTAGGGCTCTCGTATTGCATAGTTCTTATGTATGTGTTGTAAACTTATGGTTATTGAATTTCCGGGAACCTCTTATATTCAATTTCGCACCAGGATTGTGGAACAAGCTGTAATGCGTTCATTATGTTCGTTTTCACACAAAACTGAAGAATTTATTTAGTTACAAGATGTGCGCTACGAAACTCATTTTCTGGGCGTTTTCATGGCTTCGTCTCACGGCCCATATTCGTGGTAAGGATCTACAAGTGTTTAATAACTTACTTATACATTTTTCAACAACGTCTTAGCATAACTTAACTAATAATAACTAAACAGGGCTATGGAAAGCCTGCCCAACACAGCGCAAGGTCGAGCAGTAATAACTAATATTCATCCGCTCGCTAACAGCTGGTTTAATTCAATTGTTACGTCATGCAGAAGTCATTGTTCCTTGCTGAAAATGTAGAGAATATAGGACAGATCGTAGCACATATTTCTTATAGTAAAAGCGTCTTTTCCGTAAAACGTGCAACTTTTGGAAGTGGGAACAAGGCAATATTTGTTATTAAATTTTTAAGGAACATTTTAAAATCATTTTCAGGTAGTTACCTGATGTGCGCTACGAAACTCACTTTCTAGGCGTTTTTCAGGGCCTCGGCTCGCGGCCTATATAGGCCGGGGCAGTTTATCTTTCAGTTTCGTAGCGCACAAAAGTGATCTACCTGAAAATGATTCTTAAATGTTCCTTAAAAAAATGTGGTAACAAATAATGACTTGTTCCCATTTCAAAAAGTTGCACGCTTTACGGAAAAGACGCTTTTGCTTTTACTACCAGAAATATGCGCTATGATCTGTCCTATATTCTCTGCTTTTCCGGTATCATGGACCAATGAACGCAGACTTCTGTATGATGTAACAATTAAATTGGTCAGCTGTAGATGGATCCCCCATGGTCGGATGGATATCACTTTCAATACGGTAGTTTTTTCAGTTATTATTACTTGATTTCTTCTAAGAAAGTGTTAAGAAGGATAAGTGAGCTATTAAAATAAAACAAATATTTTTTTTGACTTAGTCGATAACAAGAAATCTTTCTTACCGGTTTTAAGGTATTATAATGTATGTTTAGCAGTTATTTTACCCAAAAACGTGTTATTTATACATGAATGAATATCGGTTATTCCATTTTGTATATTTGAAAATCTCTAATTTAATATTTTGGTTTTGATAAATGAAAATAAAAAACACCCCCCCCCCCCTCCCAAAAAATAGGCCCTAGTGTTATTTATCGAACATTGAAATAAGACACCGTTCTTTTTTTCCGGGGAAACACGGTAGTACAATGGTTCCCAACCTTTTTACCCGCCGGCGGTAAAATTAAATTAAATGTACTCGCGGACCGGCAAGAAATTGAAATGACCGGAACAGAAAAGAATAACATATATTTGCGTAAAATATTGCAATGTCAGGCACTCAATATGCTTCTAGACTAAATGGCACACTTAAAAACATTTCACACGAAGAAAAACTATCAAATAATGTGCCGGCCAAAAATTGAAATGGGCGAAACATAAAATAATACTAAGTATTTGCGTAATGAAATGCAGTGCTGAGCCCCCATTATGAATAAGAAAGGCAAGCATAAAACATCTCACATAAAAACATGTACATACCAAATCATGTGCAAACGCAATTAAC